AAATAAATGAAATAGAGATTAGAAAAACAATAGGAAAAATGAATGAAACTAAGAGTTGGTTTATTGAAAAAACTAAAAACAAAATCAACAAACTCTTAGCTAGACTAAGAAAAAAGAGAAAACTCAAATAGATAAAATCAGAAATGAAAGAGGAGACATTACAATCAATATCACAAAAATACAAAGGATTATAGGAAGCTACTATGAACAATTATATGCCAATAAAATGAATAACTTAAAAGAAACAGCTATATTCCTAGACACATACAACCTACCAAGATCATAAAGAAATAGAAAATCTAAACAGACCAATAATGAATAAGGAGTCTGAATCAGTAATAAAACTTCAAGCTAATTTTATGAAGCAAGCATCACACTGATACCAAAGAAGGGTATTACAAGAAAATTACAGGTCAGTATCCCTGAAAAATACAGATGCAAAAATCCACAACAATATATTCATCCCCAAATTCAACCATACATTAAAAGAATCATTCACCATGATCAAGTGGGATTTATCCCTGGGATGCAATTCAGTACACACAAATCAATAAATATGATAGACTACATTAATAAAATGAAAGATAAAAACCATATCTCAATAGATGCAGAAAAATCATTTGACAAAATTTAACACCCTTCATGTAAAAACCCCCAACCAATTAAGCATAGAGGGAATGTACCTCAATACAACAAAGGCCATATATGACAAACCCATAGCTAATGTCATACTCAATTGTGAAAAGTTGAAATCTTTTCCTCTAAGATCGGATTAACAAAACAAGAATGTGCATTCTTACCACCTCTTTTCATCATAGTACTGGAAGTCCTAGCCAGAGCAATTAGGCAAGAGAAAGAAATAAAAAGCATTTTAGTAGAAAAACAAGTAAAATTGTCTTTATTTGTTGATGGCACGATTTCATCTGTAGAAAACTCTAAAGACTCCACCAAAAAACTGTTAGAAGTGATAAATGAATTCATTAAAATCGCAGGACATAAAATCAACATATAAAAATCAGTAGTGTTTCCCTGTACTGATAATGAACTGTCTGCAGAAAAGGAAATTAAGTAAACAAGCCCACTTACCATAGGAACCAAAATAGTAAAATAGTTGGATATAAATTTAACCAAGAAGGTAAAGGACTTATATACTGAAAATGATTTAAAAAACCAACAAAAGGAATGGAAGAAAACACAAATAAATATAAAGGTATCCTGTGTCCATAGATCGGAAGAATTAATATTGAGAAAATGTCCTTACTACTCAAAGTGATCTATGCATTCAAAACCAACTCCTTTGTTATTTTTTACAGAAATACAAAAAACTATCCCTAAATTCATATGGAACTACAAAAGACCCCAAATAACCAAAACAATCTTAAGCAAAAAGAACAAAGCTAGATGTTTCACACTCCCTGATTCCAAAATATATTGCAAAGCCATTTAAATCAAAACAGCATGGTACCAGCATAAAAACAGACACATCAACAAATGGAATATGATAGCCCAGAAAGACACCTACATTTTCGCATTCAATATATTTAAAAAAAAAAAAAAAAAAAGAAAACAACACCATGCCAAGAACACACAACGGGGAAAGGATTATCTCTCCAATAAATGATGTTAGGAAAACTGATTGTCTACAGGGAGAAGAATGAAATTGTATCTCATAGCACATATGATCCATCAATTCAAAATGGATTAAAGAATTAAATATAAGATCTAAAGTTGTAAAACTTCTAAAAGAAAACATAGGCAGAAAGCTCTACAGCATTGTTATGGGCAAATATTTTTTTGAATATGAACTTGAAAGCACAGGCAACAAAAACAAAAATAGACAAATGATACAGCATAAAACTAAAAAGCTTCTGTGTAGCAAAGGAAACAATCAATGGAGTAAAGAGACAACCCACCAAATGGGGAAAATATTTACAAGCCATATATCTGATAAGGAGTTAATATCAAGAATATATAAGGAAATCAAACACTGCATTAGCGAGAAAACAAATAGCCCATTTTAAAAATAGGCAAGAGATCTAAAAAGGTAGTTCTCAAAAGAAAGGATGCATATGACCAACAACTATATGAAAAAATGCTGAGTATCACTAATAATCAGAGAAATACAAATTGAAACCACAACGACATATGACCTCACACTTGTTAGAGTGGCTTTTATTAAAAAAAAAAAAAAAAAATCTGTTACACACTGTTGGTACAAATGTAAATTAGGACAGCCATTATGAGAAACTCTATGAAGACTCATTAATAAAAACTAAAAATAGAACTACCATATGATTCAGCAATCCCACTTTTGGGTACATATCCAAAGAGATTGAAATCAATACAGCAAAGGGTTAACTACGCTCCTGTGCTTACTGCAGCACTATTCACAATAGCCAAGATATGGAATCAACCTCAGTGTCCATCAACAGAGGAATGAACAAAGAAAATGTGGTACACGTACACAATGAAATACTATTCAGCCTTTACAAAAGGAAATTCCATCATGTGGGACAAACACGAATAAACTTGGAAAACTATGCAAAGTTAAATAAGCCAGGCACAGAAAGAGAAAAGCTGCAATATCTCACTCATATATAGAACTTTAAAAAGTTGGACTCATAGAAGTAGAGAGTAGAATGATGATTAGTGGGGCCTTGGTTGGTGGGGAGAAGAGGGTGAACAGGGAGATACTGGTCAAAGAGTACAAAGTTTCAGATAGATAGGAGGAATAAGTTTTCAGACATATTTCATAGCAGGGTAACTATAGCCAATAATATTGTATTGCACATTTCAAAATAACTAAGAGAGTAAGTTTCAAATGCCTGTCCACAAAAAATAAGTAAGCAAGGTGATGTATGTGTTAATTAGCTTAAGTTAATCACTCCACATTGTATACGTATATCAAAACATCACATTGTATCCTGTAAATGTATACAGTTATGATTTGTTAATTAAAAATAATTTTAAAATAAAGAAGTTGGAAAATATTTTCAAAACAGTCTGCAAGCCTGTTTTTAATTTGCCAGTTAAAAATATTGTGGAATGCTCCAGAGGCTCCAAGCCCAGGGATTTATTTCAGTTGTATACTCTGCATATCTGGTGGGTAATCCCTGGTCAGCAGTTTCATTTGAATTCAGTAAAGCCATGTTTTCGTTCTCTCAGCCAGTGTCAGCTTCATCTATTCAGAGATGGGTCATAGGTATGACCCACCCACCACCTGAGAATCTGGGGGTTAGCATGAAGGAAAAAGGTAGTAGATGTTTTTTCCTGCCTAATGCCATCATTTTTAGTGATGTACTACTGCCATAAGGTCTGTGATTTCCAGGTTACTATGTGCTTGTGTGTGCGTGTGCGTGTGTGAGTGCACATGCACATATGTGTAATTCACACAACCAGGACCTGTTCCAATCTGTATCTGAGGTACAATTTTAATAACAGCCATTGTTCACCTACCCTTAGGGTAGCTGCCTGTCCACCATTAAACACCTGTTGACATTTGCAGTCAAAGCCCCAGGGAAGTGAAACAGAGCTTCCTTTTGTGAATGTCATGCAGTTTTAGGGTTTAGTTTATAAAAGTAATATTTGCAGATAGCTGGAAACTATTATGCAACTTGTGCTTGCCTGAAAAGTAAAAATTCATAACTTTCACTTCAGGTATATGATCATTGAAAAGCCAAGCACATTTTCATCTGAAATAATGGGGACAGGACTGCTTTACTGGCCTGAGAACAGCCCACCAAGACAAGACAGCTGCCATCCTGGGTGACAGATACTTTGAACCAAAGGAAGTTTTGTTCTTGAGAGAGAAGTGAAAATAATGAACAAAACTATTGGCTCTTCTTACTAACCTCATTTTAGAGGTTATGAAATGAATGTTTCTGAAATTAGGGTTTTATTGAGACCAGCATTCTTTCAGTGTCATATAAAAACACAAACGTGAGACCATACCTCATGCCATTCGTCTTCCCTGTATATTTATGTCTGTAAAGGATGTGATAACATCTGTCCTCCTATTAGCATGGAGTCTCAGGAATCAAGTAGGGAAATGTCTCCTCATACCATGGTAACTGTATCCCCAGGAGACTCTCATTGTTAAAATTTGTGATGCATTAAACCATTAGATAAACATAACTCATCAGTAGCAATTTAGAATGATATTTTTATATTAACAAACACATATATTATGAGGTTGAATACAAAATTGTGCATAATTTTGAAGACAAATTATTGGACTTCAAATAGTTATTGCAATTGTAGGAAGTGATTTAGATTCTACTCCTGGATTCCACCACCCAAGAGTCAACTGACAGGGGGCCCTGTTGGAGGAGATGGTTAGGCAGCATTTCGTCATCTGGTAGCACTTGGAAACGCTATAAAACCCGACGGAAATATGAAGTTCTTCTGTTATGGGAGTTCACGTACATGTGGTTCATAGCTCAAAGTCATTGTGAAACTTGCTCTTGTTCCCTTTTTCTCCTAGCACTGTACTCCTTTCCATCATCTCACCTGCGCAAGCCATCTGTCACTGAGGTCCACCTTGGATTTGTCCTAACTGTCCTCCAAGAGCTGTCCTTTTGGGAATGTATTTCAGGCTCCCGTATCTTTCACAAACCCTTCAAGACTTACATGTTGGATGCTCTCTTCCCCTTTGCAATGCCTGTTGCTTTCCGAAGACAGTGAAAATGAGTGAACCTATCTTCCTACATTAGCAGATGTTAGTAGGTTTATGTCTAACCTCATGTGTAGTATACTTGCATTTTAGAAGTTTTTCTAGTGTTGATCAAAAGGATGCCTCTAATAACTAGAATATCAAGCTCTGTGGCTTCCCAGGGCACACGATTATTTTAGAAAGTCAGATCTCCTGCAGTGGCATAGGACCAGTTTTTGAGAAGCTGTAGACCCCAGATTCTCAAACACGGTTTTCCATGAAAAAAACCCATGAAGATGATAACGTAAAAACAACACTCTTACATTAATTTTAGAGAATTCACTCTTACCTTGTACCAGGTTACCTCTGGACTTTGTGCATCACTTTGGCAGCTGAGACTGGGGCAAGAAATAGAGCCGGTGCTCCCGAGAAGTAGGTCCTGCTTATGTGATGCAGAATTCTCACAGGATGCATTTGACTGGGGCTTAACTTCTAAAATCATCTTGACACAACAGGCTATATCGTAGGGGCTCCTAGGAAATTAACAAGATCCTGTGAACATAGATATTTTGTCTAGATAATAGAGGATTTGGAAATGTTTTCAGATAGAAATACATTTGGAACGTACTTAATCATCTTGGGTCTACAAATATATGACCCAGTATTATTCACCCCTGGGGTCAAAAAACGAAGGGTGCATTTGTCCTGAATGATGTGAGGATAGCTTTTCCTAATGTCCTCTAATGGGTCTCCATTCGAAGGTTGTCGGTACCATTGGACATCAGGTAGGTCCTTACTATCCGTGAAGGGCAGGTGGTCAGGGACTTGTGTTGGTGGGAGTCGACTTCTGTGGCAGAAATGTGATTTCTGTGGCTCTGGTAAATCACAAAATAAGATAAATTCCTCTTCACTTCTTGTAGAATATGTCCAAAGGAGTTTTTTTGTGGAACAACCTGAAAATCATAATAAACAGAACAACACGGAGGCACATTAGAAAATGGAATTCTAGCTTACATTTACATCTAGTACTTGATCTAACAAGAGATTAAGCTTCCTTGTGTGTCTTTCTTCTTCACTGTCCATTTTGTAGGGGAAAGGAAGTGCCTGTTCTAATTCCCTCCCAGTGGACTCCAGCATCACCAGCAGCAGCCCTGGTTTCCTGAAAAAGACGGTAGAACCCTGGCTCATCCCTCTTCAGCTGCTCTCACTGAACACTCAACTACAGTAACAGGGTATCTGCTCAATGCTTGGTATCAGCTGAAAGCTGTTCACCCCAATAATTCTCCTCTCAGTCCCTTTTTAGCAGTAGGATGGAAAGGTTGTGTATTAATATGTCATGCTGCTGATATATCAGGTTATCCATCACTTTACGTTTGACCACAGACCCACAGTGCTAACATGAAAAGTGAAAATTCCTACCTGAAATATTAAATCCTTTAATTCTCTCTCCTGAGACAAGCCAAAGAAACATCCAGCCCAAATAGAGCATTGTTCTCCCATGTTCCTGTCATCACTCCAGTAATTTCATTCCATTGCTAGAGTAGAGTGTTTTGAGATTCAGAACTCTGCCCTGCGTATCCCCTTCATTTCTGTAAATCAAGAAATGGGAAATGAAGAAATCAGAACCAGTGACCGAAGTGCAACTTACACAGGAAGCTTTGAAAGGGCAGGTCCTACCCAAACCGGCCTTCACATGCCTCTAACTTACGTGGGTATTTCCAATTGTGTGGAACCACCTTTTCAATTGTGTCATTTCTTACAAATCATCTTAAGCTCCCGATATCCCTAGGCTCTATGTAGTGTGTTCTTTTAATGCCATTTTCCCCTCATTAATCTTTTTTGTCTCATGTGCTCACCTAGCATGTATATTTCCATGAGTAATTTGGAAAGAGTTATGTTTAACTTTTCCTGAAAAAAATGACGCACATTGAATAAAAATGCCAGATTGTTCACGGTTAGGAAATCTAGAGATATAGCTCCTACTGATAAAATTTGAGAATGTTTGCACATACTACTCTGTATATATGGTCTCCCCACTTGCCTTTCCCTTGTCCACAAAGTCTCTGAAAGAACAATCCTCCAGCTCCATCACCAGACATATCTTCCTAAGAAGCAAGCCTGAGCATCTCATTTCCATGCCCAAGACGCCACCAGCTCCCACCACCCATGTGATGAAGCACAGATTCCAGAGCACCATGGACAAACCCTGTAGCGTTTGGCTCTCTCATGTCTTATCTCTGATTTTTTTCCTTGGAGAGTCGTTCCCTGACCACCTGGATAAAGAAGCTCCTCCCTCCCTTCTTGCCAACAACCCTCTCTCTTGCTTCTCATTTTAGATGACTTCTGTCTTAGCACACATTATTGCCTGAAAATATCTTATTCCTAAAACTTCTCCCCAACTAGAATATAAGTTCCATCCCAGCAGGAACTGAGTTTGTCTTTCTCAGTCCTGCAGCCTCTCTCCAGGAATGGTGCCTAGCTAATAACAAGAGCTCAGTAACGACTTGTTCAGGATTTAACCGTGCTGCCGTAGATGAGTTGTTCCTTACACCTTGTCCTCCCAGCAGATTGGGAGATCCTGAAGAGCAGAGATTATTCCTCTGGCACTCGCCTAGGGTCAGGAGATATGATTTCTGAAACACGATCTCTGCTTACTTTTTCAGAAATGATAAACACTTCCAGAGTCGTCAGAGCAAACACATTGCAATCTACTATGGCAATTCACTTACTGTGTGACTCCAGTTAAATCACGTAGTCTCTTCCTGGACTTCAGCTTTCTTACCTGCAAAATAAAATGTCTGGACTGTATCAGTACTTCCTCCACCTTAGAATGAGGGAATCAGAATTTCTGATGTTTAAGTCAGGATATTTGTAATTTTTAAAAAAGTTCCCTGACTTGTAAATCATAAGGCCAGATGATTGCTAAGATCATTCCAGCTCTACCATCTTGCAATTTATGTCCAAATGTCCAAGCCTATAGCAAATTAGTTACCACGACGCCCAGCGGTCTCCAGCCCTCAGGAATTTCTGCCAACCTTGAGATGAGAGATACTGCCTAGGATGCAGCCACCCACCCACCGGCCTCAGATCTCCGGCTGCCTGGGGCTGATTTCAGACTTCAGCTTTCACTCTGGGACAGTGTTTCTCAAATCCTCTTGATTATAATAATCACATGAAACACTGATTACAAATGCAGATTTTTGGGCTTCCCGAGGACTTATTAAATCAGATTCTCAAGGAGAAGAACAACGGAACCTACATTATAAACAAGCGTCAGAGCCACCATGCTCATCCAGGAGACATCTTTGAGAAGCCCTGCTCAGGGATAAGCATAGAGCTTGGGGAGGTGGGTCAGTGCTGAGTCACAGTAGCTGTTGCCAGCATTGTGGGCAACTGACCGATGTGAGCCCAAGCCCATTCTGGAAGTCTCATTTCTGTGGGACAATGCGCCCACACTGTGTGGCTTGCCTGTTAATATCTAGCTTTTGAAGGCCGTCTAATATCTAAGTGATGTCTTCCATGCTGCCGTCACTAACATGCTTCACTGAATCGGAAGGAGCCACACAAATGCAGAGGACATCATTTATTGAGCACTGGACAACTTAAGCCAAAGCAAGCCTCAGACTCTGCTTATGAGAATAAAATAATGTGGCCCTCATTTACTTCCTGTAAAGTGAAGCGGAGCACTGTCCTTCTCGTATTACAGATGGACAACCAAGGCTCGCATTGCTTGGAATGGCAGTGCCCATTCTCAATGATAATCACATACCTGGTAAGTATTAGCAGGGGGATTCATATCTAGGTATAGAGGGTCTCAAAGCTTCTGATTTCCCCATCACCATACGCTGTCCTTCACAGAAGGAACTGAGAGTCTAACAGCACTGGGAGAATCTACAGAATCTCTTCAGTTATTTTCCAGATGCGTTTTTGGAGAATCACGTATCTTTTGTCAGAGGATGAAGATTTCCCTTTCAGTTGTCAAGTCTACACCTTCAGCTGTCTCTGGGAGAAATAATGAACTAAACTTTCCCCACAAAACTTTGTGGTGGGAAACGGGGAGGAGAGAGAAAAGTGCTAGAGAAAGCAGTGTCAACAGGGATCTGAGGCCCAGGGAGAGAAATATCACCATCAAAGGCAGACTTAAACCACTTTACACAGAGAACACCTGCAGACAGAGATTTGGTCTCGTGTAATAGTGACAGTATTTAATTCAACTAGTATCATTATGATTCTCAGATGGTCCGTGGTGGCTTTAGACCCCATTGTCTAGGGATAACAGAAAATGAAGCCACAGTGCCTGCCATCAAAGATGTCACAGTTAAGTTTAAATGGGCATTCAAATTTGGCAAACATCTTGAATTTCTCTGCTCTTAGCCCTTCCTGTAAAATGCTCAAAGCACTATAAACAGGTTTATTTTATAACCACCTCTTTTTTTAGTGAAGACTCCATATATATGGAGATGAAAATTCTGTTAGTAAATAACCCATTTGTTATTCTAAAATAGTTCTTGAAAAGTAATTGTGTTAGCAATTCATTTTTAAAATTATTTAAACTCTTTTCCCAACTTATATTTTCTGGTTAGGAAATCTAGTGGGGGGAGAAAAAAAAGTACCACTCTCTTACCTTTATTTCCTGCTCTTAAGACATAAAAAAAAGAGGAAGGAACTTCAAGTCCTTATTTCAGTGACTGCCGGCTTTTGTATCTGAAGGAAAATATGTGAGAATATCCATTTTCAAAAGGTTCTACTATATTTCTTCCTATCCAGAGAGATACCTGGAGAAGACACAGTAGCCATGTAACTCGCATCAGCTCAAAAATAATGGGTTATAACTGGATGAAAAAGGAAAACCTTATTTTGTAAATGACCATTGACATTGTGAAATGGATGGTCACACAGAGGAAAATCAAATAAACTACCTCTTTCCTAGGAAATGCTCTGAAGAAGAAGCATCTAAAACTCTTCTCTGACCAACCTCCTTGACGAGATAAAGTTTGTGGTTGGGTTTAGTTGAAAGAGTGAGTAAGCTGGTTTCCTTTACAGGAATTTCCTGTGAAGAATATTAACTCTCAACTCAATTTCTCAACTGTGGGTTTTGTTTTTCTTCTTGTAAAACCAACCTCCAAAAGTGTGACCTTTGAGATTAACACTAAAGCCTATTTTGTGATTAACTTTCTAATTTTGAAAAAGAAAAATTACCTCTCCAACACCCAATTTTATAAAGAAATAATTTATTGATACACAAAGGAAAATACATTTAATGTCTAAATTTCTGGGGTTTTTTTGTTCCTATTGAAAGACAGTTTCAGAATATAACATATAATTGAAAACTCCATTGTTCCTTTGCTACAGCAACTGAAACCATTCAATACTTCAAACACTCTGAGACCACAATAGTCATAACGAGTTTTGTCTAGAAACCATCTTGGTTAAGTCTAGATAACATCCTCCGTCAAGAGTCCAGTATTCTAATAAAGGTAAGGCTGGCACAGCTGAGCACATCAAAGCTCCAGGCTGCTTCTACATATATATATAGAGAGAGTAACATGAAATACAAATGAAAACTAAATTTACTTTGGCGTGAAAGCAAAATAAGTGTTTACCTGAGGTGAGGATAGGAGGATACAAGAAGAATTAGTAACTGTAGACAGAAAGAAGCCCCCAAAAGGTATCTACTACTGGTCATGAGTCTACCTAGGATTCCGAGAGGATGAGGGTTTGTGCCACACCTATTCCAAGAGTGGTAACAAGGAGCAGTGAAACAGACACTCCAGACACGTGATGCTTCAGGCTTACAATGTCTTGTGGGAACAGGCCCAGTAATAAACACAAGGGCAGGAGACCTGGGAAGTTTTGGAGAAATGAGGTTGAACGAATCAAAAAGGCTATTAATAAGGTGTTGTTTTTGGTAAGTGTTCAATAACCATTGAATGGAACTATATTCAAGTGAATGGGGGTTTGGAAGCTGTCCTTGTGAAGTTTCAGAGATCTTGATGCAGACCTCGAAACTGCATCTAAAGTTATTGCATTAGGCCATGCTTGCATTGCTATAAAGAAATACCCAAGACTGGGTAATTTCTAAGAAAAGTAGTTTAATTGGCTCATGGTTCCACAGGCCGTACAGAAAGCAGAGTGGCATCTGTTCCTGGGGAAGCCTTAGGAAGCTTTCAATCTTGGCAGAAGGCAAAGAGAGAGCAGTCACATCACATGGTGAAAGCAAGTGCAAGACAGGGGTGGATGCAACCCACTTTTAAACTACCAGATCTCACTCACTGTCGTGTGGACAACACCAAGGGGATGGTGCTAAACCATCATAAGAAACCTGACCCCAGTGATCAGATCACCTCCCACCACGCCCTACCTCCAGCGTCGGAAATTACAATCCAATGTGAGATTTGTGCAGGAACTAATATACAAACTATTTCAGTTATTTAGTTGTCTCCTAAAGTGAATTTGATCACTTTAATAGTTTGAACAGGGCTTACAGGAAATGGAAAGTCTAGCTGTAGACATTGTGGAGCTAGTCTCCAAGCTGCCATCAATTCTTCCACCACCTCCTCACAAAGCCATTTACTTCCATGTGCATTTT